CAGCAGCTGTCGTGCGGCACTCTTCTGTGTCGCGCAAAGCAGTTGCGCTTCAAAAGTAGAAGAAATAAGTGAGTATGGGAACCTGGGTGGGTGGGTGGGCCCAATAACAGAGTGGCGGAGAGAACTGGTTTGGACTCTGCTGCTCATCACCACTACCAGCTTGGTAGAACTGGGCCGAACTGGTAGCATACCACCACTGCCATTGTCGTGTATCTGGATTGTGAGGTGGGACTGGTAGGAGGAGTAAATTGCAGGGAATATTAGAGGGCTGTGTAGGGAGTGAATTACCATATGAGTTCCCATTGCTTAAAGTAGACTTGGTCCACGGTTTCTCTTTGGTCCTCCTCCAACACCTTAACTACTACACTAGGAGCCGAGGTGTGTTATGGGATAACCGCACGAAGTTTTTATTTCCGTATACGGATCCTAGATATGAAAGTTGTATTTATTTGGATTATCCAGCTCCCTATTTCTCTTATCTAGTAATTTCCACCAATTTGACTGCCTTCTTCATCGTACCAGATCCTATAGTGTTCTGTAGGATCTAGAATCACAGTCAGCCTGTTTAGCCAAATATAGCTGATCACTTATAATAATGCAGCGGAATTTTCTTTCAGTGCAGGGAAAGCAGAAGTATCTGTTTGCTGGAAGTTAGTTGGGGGAAGTTGGACGTTCATATCTGTTTCTCTCAATAGCCCCCAAATCCAAACCCTTGCAGTGGATTTAATTTCCCAACATTGTCTACATACTAGGCCTCCTGCACTGAAATTAATTCGTCCATCTGGGTTGGCACTATAGTAAATCTGTCACTCTTTAAGGTTACCTTTAGTGGTTTACGGTTGACAGGAACCTAGATGGGAACTGGGAACCATCCCTATTCGGTGGAAGTCAGTCATAGCTAGTAAATGTTTGGGATGCAAGTTCCAGGCAGGTCCAGGATGTAACAGTGGTGTAATCACTGTAATCCACCGCAGCAGGAGGGCAGAAAGAGACGATGTCCTAGGACAGAGGAAAACTCATTTCCCCTGTCTCTGCAGGACAGTTATTGGGAGGAGATACATCCACAGGCTTCAATATGGTTGATGGGCATTCTTTAATGACAATGGTTGGAAAACAACTGAGATTAGCGATTTTGTTCTGGTTGTTTCCTCTTCTGACTGTTTAATTCTCCAGCATTATTATTCGCAGGTCCCCTATCGTCCTCCTCCACAATACTACTATGATCGTCCTCCACAATACTACTATGATCCTCCTCCACAATACTACTATGGTTCTCCTCCACAAGGCTACGCTCCACCTCGACAACCCTATGGTCCTGCTCCACCAGGCTATGCTCCACCTCAACAAC